AAAGGAGCTGTGCAGTCATACCTCTAAGTGCTGGACCTAAGAAAGGTAGGCTGTGTAATAAAGGAATATCTCTCCCTGTGTCTGCTGATGTGTGGCCACTCCTCCTCCCTCCTCTCCTCGCTGCTAAGAATGTCCTTTAGCACTTCTTTAACCATATTCTCTAGTGTGTGTGTGTCAGCAAAGAGGCTCCATCAGAGTATTTAACATTGCTGCGAGCGAAGGAATGAAGTGGAGTCACTGTTGATTATTGCTCATTAGCCACAAGGACATTCACTTAACATGTGGATAAATGAATGGCACCGTGTCCTAATGGGGATGGCCTCAGCATACCTTAAAGCAAAATGTTGTTTAATATCCTTCATTTGCTGAATAGTTAAAGAGGCCTGTTGGACATACGTCGTTAGCAAGCAGCCATTGTGGGCGCCGTTGCCTGTTCGGCATTTCATAAAAGGAGGTTTTGTCCTGGCAGTATTCTCCAAAGGCCTTTGTCCATAAAAATTAAATATTTCTCCTCAGCTGTGCTATGGAATGTGACGTTTGGAGGATTTTTGTTTAAAGGTAAGGGTTAACATCTGTGCAGTTTAAGGGGGGGGGTCTTACTTAAAGTGGTGCAAGGCCCTTGTTAGTCTGCTTTGCATTCAGAGCGTTCAGTATAAAGAACCTTTGATATCTTTATTGGTTTTTCTTAGATTAAAAAGCAATCAGGCTATAAGCCTTAATTTTCTTATAGCTGTTTGTTAACAGGGGAGATAAGGCATTCAAAATCACTTGATTAGCGGTTACTTTCTTTGGTAATATCCCTGGCATGGTTTGAGGTGCACATATCTTTTATTGAATTTATTATTGGTTGTTGGTAACATCTCTTACATTCCTGATCAGAATCATGTTTCCTTTTTCTTTTCTTTTTCAGAACAAAGAAGAAGAAGAAGCCCCAAACCTTTGGAGGGGCAATAGAACCTTTCAACATGGAAACTGAAGTTTGAACATGGTTATGCTCAAACATAATCTTGAGAACACAAATAATACCACCAATGTGAAATGCACTGCTAGCTTAAATGTTTATATGGTGAGCAGGGAGTCTATAATATAGTTCAGTCCTATTCATGTCTACCCAGAAGTAAGTCGCACTAACTTCAGTGACTTTTAGTCCTTTAACCTACACATCTCTTGAAGAAGCTGAATGCAAACCCTCTCTTCCAGAGTCATGCATGAAAGTAAATGGATCTGTTTTGGAATAATAGCATTATGACCAGACCTAATGCTTTAAGGACATAGGTCCATCTAGCATAGTTTTGTCTGTACCAGAAATGAGAAAGTGAAGGCCAGCGAGGGGGTAAATGCTATCCTCCAAGCCTCTTCGGACCCTCAGGAAGCTTCCCACGCCACACCTGGCCCCCCGCTGGTCCATAATCTCTGATTTTTGGGAACATAGACTTGGACTGATGGGAGCTGGTGTCCAATTATTTAGGGAGGACAACTTGTTGACTGCCCAGGTCTGAATCAACACAATATGGTTCTTGCTGTTGTGAACCTAGGATCTAGGAGTCTTGGTTGACCACAAACTTGACATGAGCCAACAGTGTGACGGGGCAGCTAATGCAATTCTGGGCTGCATCAATAGGAGTATAGCATCTAGATCAAGGGAAGTAATAGTGCCACTGTATTCTGCTCTGGTCAGACCTCACCTGGAGTACTGTGTCCAGTTCTGGGCACCACAGTTCAAGAAGGACATTGACAAACTGGAACGTGTCCAGAGGAGGTCAACCAAAATGGTCAAAGGCCTGGAAACGATGCCTTATAAGGAATGGCTAAGGGAGCTGGGCATGTTTAGCCTGGAGAAGAGGAGGTTAAGGGGTGATATGATAGCCATGTTCAAATATATAAAAGGATGTCACATAGAGGAGGGAGAAATGTTGTTTTCTGCTGCTCCAGAGAAGCGGACATGGAGCAATGGATCCAAACTACAAGAAAGAAGATTCCACCTAAACATTAGGAAGAACTTCCTGACAGTAAGAGCTGTTCGACAGTGGAATTTGCTGCCAAGGAGTGTGGTGGAGTCTCCTTCTTTGGAGGTCTTTAAGCAGAGGCTTGACAACCATATGTCAGGAGTGCTCTGATGGTGTTTCCTGCTTGGCAGGGGGTTGGACTCGATGGCCCTTGTGGTCTCTTCCAACTCTATGATTCTATGATTCTATGAATCTGAGCCCAGCACCATAACTGCAGAGCCTGAATGCAGTGTAATCTTATGAAGCAGTGTCAGGGAAGAGTGGGCTTTTCAGCTGTGAAACAAACCTTGTGGAAAGCTTGTTTCTATCCCCATCTCAACATATAGCATCCAAAATAGCAAGGCAGTTGGTAAAATAAGTTTCAGCATCTTCTTTTTTTATTTGCAGGCTGGTCCTTGAGCATTTTCTCTTCTTCGATTTAGCATTTCTTTGGGAGGGTCGCTTTCTCCCTTGATAGATACACAAAACACTGAAACAGATGGAAGCCACATCTGCACCATACATTCACAGCAGCCTCACATCACTTTAATAGTCATGGCTTCTTTGTTAAGACTGCTGAGAGTTGTTAGGAGACTCCATAGAGCTACAGGTCCTTAACTTCCCTGGGAATACAGATTGAATGTTAGGGAATTGTAGCTCTGTAGGTGGGAGAGGGGTCTCCTACTCCCAGCACACTACAGTTTCCAAGATTCTTCAAGAGAAGCCATGAATTGGCAGGCTTCTGGTGGCCAAAAGAAAACATGTCACCCTTCCCCCAAGAGGTGCACCCAAGGCCATACTGGTTTTCTTTTCAGCACCAAGAGGAAACGTGTGTTTGCCCAAGTCTTAAACTTCTTCAGAAGGTTTTAAGAACATAAGATAATAATAATGATAATGATGTTATTATTTATAACCCGCCCATCGTGCTGTATTAGGGCAGCGGCCCATCTAGTCCAGCATCCTGGTCTCATGGTGACCAACCAGATGCCTATGGGAAACCTGCACACAGGACCTGAGCACAAGAACCCTCTCTCCCATCCTATGCTTCCCAGCAACTGTTATTCAGAAGTATTGCTGCCTTTGACCAAGGAGGCAGAGCACAGCCATCATGGCTAGCAGTTCTTGATAGCCTTTTATGATGGCAATCTGTATGCTAACCACAAGGACATTCTCTGAGCGCTAGGCCTGCATTCCCTTCTGGACAACCTTCCAAGGGGCACAGGTCAGTGGTGGGCAGAGCCAGAGATAAATGTGGGTGGAACAATTAATGTAAAATTTACCTCTATACAGTAGCCTAGTTTCTACACACACACACACCCCTCTGACCCCCCATTCAGACAAGCAAAAGGCATTATGAGCATTCAAGGACACATTTCACCCAGACAGAAATGCTCAAGGAGGGTGAGACACAAAGCCAATGAGAGCTGTTTTCTGGGAAGAGACCCAAGGGCCGGATAAAGGGGCCTGGGGGCCACAGTTGGCCCCCAGTTCTAAGGTTCCCTACTCCTGTTCTTAAGGATGCATCATATTCCAGTTGTGGTTTCATTCTATTCATTGTAAGTTGCTCAGAGAGCACTGATGAAAAGCAGCCTGCAGATATTCTAAGTAAAACAAATGGCCGAAGGCAACTGGCTGGCATTTCTTCATTTGCCTTTTCAAGATGCTTGTGCTGGGTCCCTTGCTCTGCAGTCAATAGGAAGCAAGAAAGAGAGCTGGCTGAAGTTGGAGAGGACCCCGGTTTGACAATTTGCAAGTCTCAATCGCTTGCCATCTCCTGCGCCCCCCACCCAACAGCCCTGCTCCCTTTCCCTCCCTATCCTAGCCCTTGTGGAGGAAGAGAGATGATTACATCAATCAGTGTCAGGTCTGGGCACTGTGATTTATGAATATGCATAATGAGCTCTCACCTTTGAGAAGGACTAGCTAGGAAGATAATTGATTAGACAGGGAAAGAGCAGCCAAGAAGCGAAGGGGGGGGGCAGGTGGGCTAGGCTAAAAGCTTTCTCTGGCTAGCCAGAGCTTTGGCAAACCAGCGATCATCTGAAGGAGAAAGATTTAAAGGGTGAGCCTCACAATGAAAATGCAGGCATAAATCATGAGGGCTAATTTACACAGCCACTTGGAGATAAACCATGGGCAGTGCCAGCTAAAGTTCCTTGTCACCAAGGTAGGTTGCCAGGAGAGGGAGCCATAGCTATGCTGAAAATTATCTACTTCTCTTGGGCACTGCCAAGGCAAGTGGTGAGGAGGTGGTATTGCAGACACAACACATCTGGAGGCTGTAGTGCTATGCCCAGGCTTCTGATTTATTAGTCTGTTAGGTGATGCAAGGAAGCCAATGGCACATCAACCCCACAGAACGTACCCTGGGTGCCCGTCACAAAATGGCTGCCGTGGATATGTGGCATGACACAAAATGGCTTCCTTTGGGGCATGGCAAAGCACAAAAGGGGTGTCACATCTGAAAGAGCAGAAAAAGAAACAGGACCGCAAAATGGTGGAAGCATGCCTGCCTGCCCCCGATCAAAAGTAACCTACATCGCCAACTACAGAGCTCACTTACATAGAGAAGCTCTTTGCACCTCTCCTCTGCTCAGAACAGGAGGGAAGGTGGGTGTCAAATCCCAGCATCCAACAAAATGGGAGCATGGGAGCGTGCTCAGCACAGGAGTGGCCAAGCCGCTGCACACAGGAATTCGGCAAAAAAAGATCCAAAAGTCTCTCGTGCAGCGTTGATTATTGAAGGGGGTGTTTACTGATGCTGTTTGTGACTGCCACGGAGTAGACTGGCAAGGTCACCGGTGCTTCATCAGTGATCCCTAAGTTAAGCCAAAGTTTGACCTTCCCCATGCAGCTGGGTGTCCTGTTTCACAAAGGACAGCCCTCTCTTTAAAGGCTTCTTCTGTTTTATTTAAAAAAATAAATAAATAGATAAATAAATAGATAGATAAATAAATAAATAAATGCAAGAGATAAAGCAAGCATCCTGAAAATTATTTTCCTCTTATTTTTTTTATAAAAACTTTTATTTCTACATCACTTCTTTTATTATACAGAACCAGCCATCTTACAGAAAAGGCTGTCTAAATAGAGAATTTTTAGGTAGGTTAACCTCATACCTGCTAATGTGAATCTTTAAAAAGGAAAAGCGGGGGGAAGAGACTCTTCTGCTAGCTTTGCAAACCTCGAGGATTTCAAATGTAGTTTATCGGCCTCCTGCAACCCAGGCCTATAAATAATACATTCCTATCACTGTGACCTCAAAATGTCAATACCGCACACCCCTTTTGCATTTGCATAACTTGTACTGTCTCAACTTGAAGCATGTCACCCTGGATGCTCCTGTGTGTTGGTACTTTTAACTTGGTGTTAACTCTTAGCACCCGGCAGCTTTATCGGTTCTGCAGGAGATGCAGCGGCGTCCCTGCGTAGGAAGGATAGTGGTAATAAAATCTACCGCAGCTCTTCTGGTGAAGCTTCTCTGTGATTCTCATAAGATAGCCTTCCCCAACCAGATGCTGTTGGACTCCAGATCCCATTATCCTTGACCTTTGGTCATGCTGACTGGGGAATGATGGGAGCTATAGTCCAAGACATCTGGAAGGTGCCAAGTTGTTGAAAGCTGCCCTAAGAATTATACAGCAAGAAAAAGCACCTCTGTGTTTTAAGCCTGAATTTAACTTTATTCTGTATTTTGCTTCTCTTCAGAGAAAAGTATGTGTATGGATAGCATATTTGTAATACCTGAGTGTGCACGCACATGCACACGCACACACACACATGTTGGGGGGCAGGGATCAGGATTGCACCCGATGCTTTGGATACAGAAGGCCCCAGACTTAATCCTGGTGTTTCCAGATAGGGCTGGGAAAAGACTCCCTGCCCCAAATCCGAGAGAGTCGCTACAAGTCAGTGTAGACTGCTGGTCTTCAGCTAGTGGGTCATGACCCACTATTGGGTCATGGCCTGATGCAAGGTGGGTCACAACAGGAGCATCAACACCATTCATATATGTGGTTAAAAAATAGGTCCCCACATTCATGTGGGTTCTGGGTCTGAAAAGGTTGGAGGCACCTGGTGTAGACCACACTGAACTAGATGACCCAGTGGTCTGACTGGTAGCTTCCTATGTTCTTATGTGCTCATCATAACAGAGTGTGCACATGTTCAAAGTGGATCTGTGTTGCAGAGTCAGTAAACTGTGGAAATGTACAGTGTGTACACATGTAGATTCCATTCAGAAGTTATGACAGAAACACAGAGGTCAGGGCAAAACCAGGAACTTTGAGGACCCACCAAGGCCCTGGGAAGAGGGGTTGATTGTTAAGCTACACTGAGAACTATAGCTCTTTGAGGGGAATAAGACTCTTGTAACAACTCTCAGCACCCTTAACAAGCTACCATTCCCAGGATTATTTTAGGGAAGCCATGGCAGTTGAAAGTGGCATGATACTACTTTCAATGTATAGTGCAGATGGGGCCTCAGAGATGCTTATCCCACCTTTCAAGTTATATAGCCTCACAAGGTGATGTCATATATATACAACTGTACAACAAAATCCCCATGTTTTAAAAATATTTTGTAACTGCATAAAACACTAGCATTAAGCACAATGAAAATAAAGGCACCAGAGAAAGATGTGCTAAAACAGATCTACATAAAATTATATGCAGACTGACATAAGAAGGGCTTTAAGGATCTACAAAGTCAGTGAAGAAAGGGCTGTATGGACCTCCTCAGGGAGGGTATTCCAGAGGTGTGAATCCACTACAAATGTCTCTGATACTTGCCAGCCTGAAAACTCTCACCAGAGCAAGGCCTCAGATGATGTTCTTAAGGCCAGGGCAGGCTCATATGAGTGCAGGAATAGCCCGGCCCCTGACTACTAGAGTTTTAAAGGTCAATAACAAAGCACCTTCAGCTGCATCTGGAAACAAATAGGCAGCCAATGTAACTAGCATGGATTAGCCATAATGTCTAGTCCCTACAAGTGTTCTAGCTGCCCAGTTCTGCACTAACTGACCTTTCCAAATAATCTTCAAGGGCAGCCCCTGTAGAGCGCATTGCAGTAATCTAACCTGGATGTAACCAAAACATGTTATTAACTGAGACAAGATCTGCCTTCTTCCAATAACCCTATTGTTGGTGAAGTAGCCAAAGTTGGTAAAAATAATTTCTGCCCATGATGCCGCCTGTATCTCCACAGAGTCCTGAAACACCCATCTTTCTCACTCGTTCCTTGTCCTTCTCCCCTCATAGGGAAAGGCCAGAGGTCAGTGGCAAAGGTTCACATCCTGGCATCTCCAGATAGCTCTGGGAGAGAATCCTATCAGAATCTCTGCAGAGTCTCTGCCAGACAGAGTTGACCATCAGTCTGATTTGGTATAGGGCAGATTCCTATATTCCCCCATGTCCCCTAAGTCCTTCCTTGATCCTTGCCCCCTCCCACATCTCTGAAAAGGTGGTGTCTTAATTCGCAGTGCAGATATGTCCTTTCTGGAAATCCTTTCCAGTCACAAAACTACATTTCCCAGGGTACTTTGAGGATGCAGTCTGACTGAAATTCAGCAACCCAACTGAATTTCCAAATTGGCATAGGGAGATGGAGTGGTGGTCGGGGAGGGAGAGAAAGAATGACTATAGTTCCCCCACACACACACACATGCTAATACTGGCATACTTAGGTCTGCAATTCAAACATAAGAAACTGAGAATGTACATTTGATTGGGAAAGGGCTCTGTTTATGCAAGAGGCATAACCCAGCCTAAAATGCATTCTTAGAGAGATTTTGCACAAAACAAGAAAAGCTTTTCGTCTGTTGCATATCCCATGTCTAAAATGCTAATGTAAAACCCATAGAGCAGGTGTGGGGAACCTCTGGCCCTCCAGATGTTGCTGAACTACAACTCCCATTGTCCTTGGCCATGCTTGCTGGGGCTGGTGGGAGTCTGCCAGCATCTGCAGGGCCACAGGTTCCCATAGAGCCTGGAAAGCACATTCCGTTTAACAATGGGCACACGCTGCAGACTTTCTATCCTGCATCAATAATAGTCACACATGCATTCAACATAGTATCAAAGAGGCTCAATAGCAATTTGAGGGGTTGTGGAGCAATTTACAGGCAACTCGCCATTTACGTGGGAGGGGGAGGTTCTATGTCACACACGTGCCAGTGGGACGCACGTAATCCTGCCCTGCCCCACTCCTGCCACTCCCCCTTGCAGTGCCAAAAACAGCGTGTGCATCACCTGTTGTGCACAAATAAGGAGTTGCCTGTATTACAAGGAGAACGGGCCTGTTGCTGAAAATGGCATCTGCATATTGAGTTTTTCTGCAAGGTGTAGTTAAAACACCCCAGCATAAACCTAAGTCTCAATGTCACTATTACTTACTTACTTACCTAATTAATTAATTACTTAATTAAATTTATTTGACATTTTTACCAAGATAACTCAAAGTGACTTATAATATATAAACTAACACATATATTAAAATGGGGAAGCACTCAACGTGAAGTTTTACTATTTATTATGGAAGGAGGGGATTCCACATAGAGATGTCATTCCCACTGATAGCTCCACATCCTTGGCAATGAACGGCTCCATCTTAGGGCATGTACACATGAGCAGCTTAAAACTCAGCGAGGTCCTTTCCCCCTGCTGTGTTTCAATAATCATGCTTTACCTTGCTGTGCCCACCATTAACAGATCACTTGATTTGTTTCTCTGCTCATGCAACCTCCTGTACTCATCTGTGCATGTGCAATGGATGTCTGGAATATGCACATCTCAGCTTAGCCACAGCTTACATTTTCAAACTGGATGCGAGCCGTTTTGAGGGTAAACACATCAACAAGTGGTATTTCTCAAGAAACTACAAGTTATATATGGGTTGTGGCTAATGTCATGTGTACTTAGCTTCACATACCTCTGGTGGGAGCACACTGGGGCCAGAATAAATGGTAAATGTGCACACAGCTTTTGCCTTGAATGTGAATTGACTCTAAATGAGGAGGGATAGCCATTGGTCCTCCAGACATTGTTAAACTGCAACTTGATCAATGGCCAGGAGTGATGGGAGTTGAACAACTTCTGAAGAGTCACAGGTTAGCACACACACCAGCAACCCACCCTAAATTAAAATGACAAGAGTCCTGCTGTAAAGATAGTTCAGCAAACACACACCCTGTCCGTCTTACAACGCAATCGTGCACGCTTACTCCAAAGCAAACTCCTGGATGTCAGCCTCATTGCACAACGCAAACCCCACTTTGTAATCTTCTACATGCTTGCCTGTGTGAACAGACTGACTATCCCTACGCTGGTGAAAGTTACCTGCCTTTCAAAGCTTGCAACAATTGGTTAACCCGTAAAAGAGATTATTATTTCTGTTCCTTGATCTCCTTTCGCTCTGCTGACTAACACAACTACTAGCTTTTTATGTGTTCATTTAAACTGATTTTTTAAAATAATAATAATCTGGCAACCTTTGGTTCACACCAAAAGCTGCTTTGTTAGATCTGAGAGGGCCCTGCACCAACCTCATAACAGGCCTGACTTGTAGTTAGTTTTAATATCCCATAATTGTGCAGTTTTTGAAGTTAACTGCCAAAGAAAGGAGGGTGGGGGGAAGGGACCCACAGCAAAAGGGGAGGTGGGATGGCTGTGGTTTGATTGTACTAAGCTTCCTGAATTCTGAAGCTAGAAGGAGTCAAAAGTTACGGGGAAAGTGTGTGTTTTAATTTAATTTTAATTTTCCTAATGGGCAAAGGCAGCTCTGCTTTAATCCCCCACCTTTCATAAACCCATGCTTCTTTCAGGCTGAGGAAAAAATTGCTCCCTTCCCTCCTCAAACCGGCAGGTAAAACTGAAGTGACTCTAAGCCGCTTGACCTCTTGCAAAGCTGGCCAATTTTCAACACTTTGCTAAGGAAATGGAGCTGCTTTGCCACTTCATTGGTTTTCATTTCTTCTCTGCCTCATGCAAAGATCCACATGCAAAACTTTGTGGGTTTTTCCACTTACAATGAAACTTGGAAGGGGTGTTTTCTATATTTTTCTTCCCCTTCCATATTTTCTAGGCGGCTTTTTCTCTGAAAAAGGGTGGAGGGAAAGAAGTAGAAGAAATGACAGGAGAGTAACTTTTCCATGCTGCAATCCTAGGAACACCTACTTGGAAGTAAGCTGCATTGAATGCAGCTGAGACTTACTTCTGAGTAAATACGCATAGGGTTTTGCTGTGAGAGAGGTCCCTCTTTTTTGCCTGTGTGTCCTGCTGCAACTTCCTTGGTAGAAATTTGATAAAAGACTTACAAGGCCGTGTGTACACCATATATTTAAAGCACATATACAGCACACACCCCTTCAAACATTCCTGAGAACTGTAGCTTACCCCTCACAAAGCCACAATGCCGATCACACTTAACAAACTAAGGAAGGGGTGTTAACTTTGGATAATGCAGCACAGCAGCTCAATAGTTGCTGTTTTGTTTTGTTTTCAAAGGGTATCTGTAACAAGTAATACCCTAGATTAGATTTGTTTCCCTAAACGCCTTTCTGAAAACTAGTGAAATTGATGCAATGGAAAGACACTCTTATGAATGAAAATTCTGTGAGGTTTTTTCCATCCTAGCCAATTGTGTTCGGCAAATGGAACCTTCCCAGCAAGTTCCAACCTTGCATTTTCTAACCGATCGCGCCAGACCTAAGGAGGACTAAAATATTGCCTTAACATTGCTTCCTTTCCAAAGTGGGCAGCTGGAGAGCCTCTGCCTTTTTGCTCAAAAGTGTACCCCACCGAGTTCACTGGGGCTAACTTCCAAGTAAGCGTGTACACCAGCGCAGCCTTGGCCTTAAACTTTTTCCCAGTAGGGTTTTCCTCTATGTATTAACTTTCAGAAAACCACTTCTTGCCCAGGGATTGTAGGATGCACACTCACAAGTGACACTGAGAGAATCCCACATTTGGGTGGTTGTTGTTGCCCCAGCCCCAGCCTTTGTCTTCCATACATCACTTGTGTACGTTCCTCCACAGGGACTGCAATAGAAAAGCAGATCTGTGCCACTCATTTAAAGCATATCCAAAGCACATGGATTTCCCTAAGGAATCCTGGCGACTGCAGTTTTCCCCCTCACAGAGCTACAACTCCCAGCACCCAGCACAAACTACAGTTCCCGTGATTCTTTTTTGGAGGGGCAGTTGTGCTCTTTAAACACATGGTGAACATTGCTGGTATCACTTATTTGCAAAGCAGTACCATTTGTGCTTTCTAAAACCACCCTATCATTTGCCATAAGATTATTCTCTCCTCCAATCTTTTTGTTTTGGTTTTAAATTCCTGCTTTTGTTTTTCTCTCCCCAACCCCCCACTCCCGCCGGTCCAGCCCCGCAGGAGCCTGCTGCTTCATTTCCGGGGTTGGAGGTGGGTTAACCAAAAAGGTAATCAATAGCTACAACATCGGGTAATAAGGTCCTTGGGGCGTCATAGATTATTTTGCAGGCAGGTCGAGGTTGCTGCTGACTTCTCCCATCGCTTACCAGGCTCGCTCTAGAAGCCCAAAAATGTTCCCCTGCTCTGCATTGTACTAACCATAGCAGCCCAGTACCTTCCAGATGTTGAATTCCAGCTCCCATCAGCCCCAGCCAGCAATGACCAATGGCCAGAGGTTTCTGGGAGGTGTAGCTTGGCAAAATACTAGTAATAGTAATAGTAATAAAACTGAAAGCCACCTAGTTTGGGTAGCTTGAACCAGATTGTTCCCCCTACCACCCCACTCCAGAAATAGACCCAAAGGGCACATGTCTACTCTGTAGCAAGCCCCATGGAGTTCACTGGAGCTTATGCCAAAATAACTGAATGTTGATGTGACTCCAGGCTTGCAGTATACCTTTAAAGCACATTTGAAACATACTCGCTTTCTCAAACAATCCAGGACATTGTGGTTTACCCTTCACAGGGTCACAATTCCCAGCAGGGCTTGACAAACTACATTGCCCAGAATTCTTTGAGAAGGGAAAAATGTGCTTTAAAGGTATATCGGTTTTGTTTGGCTGCAAGGACACCATATATTTAAAGCACCTGCACCCACGCAAAGAGTTGGTGAGGGGTGCTGGGAATTGTAGCTCCGTGGCGATTAAACTAGAGTCCTCGGGAACGTTTAGGGAGAGGGTTAACTTGAAATGCATGCTGGAGCCTGATAGAAAACCCACATTTTCCGTGAAAGAAGGCGGCGGGGGGGGGGGGGGGACGCAGGGAAGTCAGAAGAAAGAAAAACGAACAAAGCGGGCCTTCCTCCAAAGAAAAGCAAAAAAGCCGAACTCCCGCACGAACTTTTCCGGGAGTAAGTGGCCACTGCTTTCAGCGAAACTTACTTCCGAGTAAACACACACAAGCTAGTTGGCTCCCGGCAGGGTAATGCGCACTAGACAAGTGGCTTTCTGCCTGCAGAGGGCGCTCGAGTTCCAGATTTCACTCGCGCTCCGAAGCCGAGACGGCGGGTTCCCGTCCCCCTCTCACTTTCTGATTTCTTTTCCCCCTCTTTCTTTAATAAATAGAAACTGCCGGATAATGCATATAAAATAATCACGGGAGATAGCGATCCTGCTCCTTCCCTCCGCGCCCAATCCCTCCCGTGCGCTGCCAGCTCAGCCGGCAGTAGTTTTTCCTTCTTAATCCACATCTCCTTGGAAAGAATAAAGGGGAGAGAGAGAGAGAGAGACCCTCTCCTCTTCCTCGGGCCTTTCCTCTCTCCGCCCACCTCCTTCCGACCTTGTGTCTCTTTAGCCGTGGAAAGAGGACAAGGAGAAATACGACGGGGCTGACTTTCGCAACTTGCCTTGCCCCTGACTTGATCCAGACAACAGCTGTCTCAAATATACAGTCCGATCCTTACGTGAACGTGGAAGGAGAAGCGGACGGGGGGGGGGTTGGAAATCACACACGCAAACCAGCCCCCTTAGCGCTTAGCAATTCAAACAGACGCGAGAGCGCTTTGAACGACCCCCTGAAATCGCCCAGGATTTCCAGCCGCAAAGCGAAAGGACGATTCGATCTCCTAAGGAGGTTTTTTGCAACTTTGAAAAATATGGGCCATTTAAACCAGCGGACTTGGCTTTCAAGCAGGAACCTCTTAACACACACGCAAAACAAAAACACGGTAGTGCGAGGCGTTTTGATCAGATCTGCAGCGATGGCCCCACCAGTGATTCCTAATACATAAACACGCGGGTTCCCCCCCCCACGCCTCCTAAATCTATTTAAAAATTAATACAGCAAAGTAACCAGAAAGTCCCAAATAGTGTATAGAATTCTGCCCCCGCTCTCCTTAATTCAAATGAATACGCACACACCTCTCTTTCCTGTACACAAACACACACTGTTGACATTTTCTTCTAGCTAGCTCACAGCTGCATTTTGTACTCAGGACTGCTACTGATTTTCGTTCTCGCAGTTATAGAAAATCAGGATTTGGAAGCCTCTAAAGACGGCTACCCTTCTGGAAATCTAAGCACGGTGGGGAATCTTCCAAAACTAGTTTAAAAGTTTCCCAAAGTAACAAAAGGAAATCATGATAATAATTAATAATAATAATAATAATAATTCACGTAGGTATCAGAAAATTGTAGTCAAAGTGGCAACAGTTTATTAGCCAAAAATATATACTTTCTTGTACAATTTGGTTCACACATATGTACATTTTTTTCCTTTTTACTATATATACAAAAAAGAAAATGAAGACGCCTATTTCGCACTGGACTTCCAAAAAACCTCACGAATTCAGCTAATCCAGATGATAGCACAGAAGCAGGGGTGTTTTTTTTCTTGGTTTTTGTAATTTTTTTCATTTGATACATGGACATGCGTACAAGTTGTAACTATACAGAGAATTTTATTTTACAATCATTAGAACAATAATTATAAAAAAATTAACTATGATGATGACAACGCAGATAGAACCATAGCTGCATCAAGTTGGTTCTGAGGCCTGGAAGAAAAGGAACACAGAAGAAAAAAAGAAGATATATAGATATATATCTTGAATACTGATTTCTCTAATCATCTAATAGGCAGCCAGAACTGGAGACTGCAGCGGAGCTTATGCTTTCTTTAACATGGAACAAAAAGTCTTTGAAAACATTCAAAAACCATGAGCAAAAACTACTCCAATTTTATGCGGAGTGGGGGGTGCCCTTTAAAGGCTAACAGATTGACTGCAACATAAGCTTTTGCGGAGTTCTGAAATGCACTAACCCGCCTGCTCCTTTGCCTTTAGTCCATAAAAACTGATGCCACAATCCATATGTTAGTCTTTAAGGTGTCGGGAGAATCTTTTCTTAGTTTTGCTGCAGCAGATTCACATGGCTAACCCTCTGCAGTTTTATAGCCACTCTAATATGTTAGAGACATAATCCTTTTACTTAATTTTTTTTATTTAGGCCAAAGCGCTGTGCATTTTTTAAGCACTATCCAGCAACCTTGCAGTGAACACTATTTCCCTGCTAAATGCAAGTTATGAAATATATGTACATTTATGCACAAGCATATGTACTCTCTCACACGCAATCATGGCACATTCTTTCTAGTCAACGTGCAGACACAGTTGACATGCATATTATAACCAAAGAAATATATGTGTGTATGCATATGCACCAACCACACAATTAAATCTATTCATTTCATTAGGGTGCATCTGTGTGCGTTTGTGAATGCACACTTGTACATAGCCAGGATAGATTATACATATAGGTGTGCATGTGCAAATAAATATATGCAGATATATCACACACCTAAACTCCACAGGTATGCAAGAGAGCAGAGTTTACATTGGCCTGTCCACCTTATTTCATAGACTAAACCAATATTTCAATTTGGCCAGTTTTGAACTGGAGGATTAAAAAGGAGGTGATCAGACTGGGAATTTTCTTCTCCCCTATATTGATTTTAACAAGACACTAAAGAGTTGCAGAGGGGACCTTTGTATCTCACAAGCACTAGTTTACAAATTCTAGAAAACTGACTCTGCAATCTTTCCTTGGTGCTCTTATCTAACATCACAAAAGTGCACTAAAGCTGGCTTGGAAAATGAATCTCAGAGGGACTGGAACCAAAGTGGCCATTTATAATTCTTCCCCAGTCCTAAATATACATGGTGGGGCCCAAATCCCTCACATGTTTACTTGGAAGGAAGTCCAAGTCCTGGTTTCAGTGGCATTTACTCCCAAGTAAGTCTGCAAGAGATTGCATCTTGCAGGGCAGCAAGTCCCATTGATGTCAATGGGAATTGGTCTACAAGCAAATTCCTCTCCCTTTTTAATGTACCCTCTAGGACATAGATAATCTCTTACCGCCTCTGAACTGGTTGAAAAGCTGTCTTTATTAACTTTTTCTCTACTTCCAAGGCACTAGATCGATCTAAAACAAACAAAAGCAAACAAAGAAAAAAAAAGTTCCTTTTTTTTAAAAAAAACCACCTTGGATTTGCTTCTCTAAGGTTCCTGAATTCATGTCACTCTTAGCAACTTAGCTCAGTACATTCTTTTTTTAAAAATGAAAAAAAATGAAAACCTGTTAAAGAGAACCCAAATCCTAACCATGTCCAGTATTAAAATAAAAATGCTTCATTTCAGTGGGATTTTGCTTGATCGCTTCAAAGTGTGCGCTTAAGGTCACAGAACACCTGGATTGCCAAACCCATTTTACATGGAAGTAAAAAAAAAACAAAAAACCAAAGACCCACACCTTTGATTTCAGTTTGGGGATTTCTTTCCTAGCAAATATAAGAGAGGGGGGTTTTTTTGGGGGGGGGTGTTAAATGTGCTTTTTAAAATAGGCAGATGATACCATCAATACAGAGAGCACCAATTCTGACCACAGCAACTAGGGTATCCCTTACTGGGAGAATGCAATTTTTTTAAAAAAGCTCCCCCAGTTTTGACGGCAATATTGGTGGAAGTTGTTGTTGTTTTAAAAAGAAAGGGCCCCAGGTAAAGGCCTTCTGATTTATTTACTGTATTACCAAGTGATTCTGAATGGGGAGCCTGGCACTGAAGTCGATAGAATAGGAGACCAGAAACTGATCCAGCATGATATTGCATGTTCGTGGGCTGTGGAGAGATCCAGCCAATGTTTCTGTCCGAAATACAAACTGAATCTTTAGGCCAACTAAGAAAGCCTGGACCTCTTTTGGGAAAAGAGATATAGAGAGTCCAGAAAAGGGAGCAGTCAGGGTCTGACTGTCTTTCCCCGTCATAATGAATTGCTTCTTTGGGCTTCAAACCCTCGAGGAATACCTCCCGCTTTCGTCGTTTTTTATTCCACCTACTCTATTCTGGAGCTTCCTTCTAAGTCCCCCTCCCTTCTACCATTTGCGTTCTTATAAATTGTTTTAGTGGTAGCCAGCTTAGTTTTAATCAGAGTAGACCCACTGAAATGAATGGACTCAAATTTCTTCAGGTTCATTTCAGTGTTGTCTAAGGAAACTTAACTGAATGCCACATAAGTCTCAGGGAATAAACGCGCAGCCTCGCATACAAACCCACCCTAGCTCAAACTTCTCTCCCCCACGTAAGTCCCATGGATCTTAGGGTTGCAGCCAAGTTGTTTTCCCCCTCCCCCTCCCACCTTGCCTTTCCCCCCTCTCAGGTATACGCCTCCCTCCCATCGAATGGGTTACCTGTTCCGGAGGACTCCGCGCTCTGCGCTTGGTCCGCGGGTCTGGAGAAAGCCGCGATAGCCGCCGCGCTGGGGGCCGCGCTGGGGTTCGCCCCCCCGAGTCCCAGCAGGTGGGGAGTGTTCAGTAAAGTGAGCGGGTGGGGATGGTGGTGGTGGTGGTGATGGGGGTGGGCCGAGAAGGCCCGGCTGGACCAGTTAGCGAATTTGCCCAGAGGGCAAGAGGCGACCAGTCTGTGCGCGGGGCCCGGGGCCGTCGGAGGAGGCTGCGGCGGTGCGGGGGCTCCCACCAGCTGGAGGCTCTGGGGGGTGGCTGCTGCCGCAGGGGGGGAACCTCCGCTGGGGGGAGATTTCCGCGACGGGTTATCCGGGCTGGTAGCCGTCTCTGCTAAGGACCAGATCTTGGGCTTGGGAGGCTGCGCTTGCGGTGCCAAAGCGGGGCTGGGAGCCGTTGGGGGGGACGCTGGGGAGGAAAGATGGCGCGGTTGCTGTAGCTGCTGCTGCTGCTGGAGAGCCGCTGGCGAAGGCAGCTCGCCCGACGAGGCGCGCTGACGGGCCTCCATAGCCTTCAAGAAGCGCTCCTGAGCTCCCGGCAGGTCCTCGAAGCCGTCGGAGCCCTCCGAGTCGGTGGTTTTGGCGTCGGAATGGAGGAGCACCGAATCATCCGGCGGTTCCTCGTCCTCTTCCTCCTCCTCGTCGTCGTCCTCCTCGTCGTCCTCCCCTTCCAGGAGAAGCTGCCCCGCTTTGGCCCCTGGCGCCCCGCTCTCCATATTCTCGGTGTCGATGTTCTCCAGGTCGATCTCCTCGTCGTCGGGGTCCCGCTTGTCTCCTTCGCCGTCCTCTTCGTCGTGCTCGCTGCCGTAAGAGTTGCCCTCCTCGTCGGTGCGGCTCCGCGGAGCCCAGGTCATTTTATTCTCCTTTTTGAGGCGCCGCCGGGCGTTGGCGAACCAGGTGGAGACCTGCGTGAGGGTCATCTTGGTGATGATGGCCAGCATGATCTTCTCGCCTTTGGTGGGGTAAGGGTTTTTCCGGTGCTCGTTCAGCCAGGCCTTGAGGGTGCTGGTGCTCTCGCGGGTGGCGTTCTTGGGCCTCGACGGGTCGCCAAACTGGTACTGGCCATAGGGGTAGAAAGCCGGGTGGTGGTGAGGAAAAGCCGGGTGCTGGACGCCGGGGCCCTCCTTCAGCTCATACTGGGCTCCCTGGAGAAGGACAGAAAAAATGGGGAGGGGGGCGTTACACAGAGCAACTAACGGTTAGCCATGGAAATGGGCTCTTTCAAGGAGGGGAGAGCCCCCACACCGGTTCAGTAGCCCTCTTGACTCCCAAAGGGGTGGAAGATAAGTCGAGCAATATATTCGACGGGATCAAATGAATCAAGGGTTGCGCGGCTGTCATTCTGCCGGGCGACGAAGAACGCTGTGAGATTCGGAAGCTTGCCCTTTTAAGTTCGATATGGAGAAGTGCGATTCCGCCTGCAGTTTCATAATAATTTCTCCTTTCAAAAGTTATAAAGGGGATTGATGTGTATGCGGGGGGCGGTTGGGAGGCTGCCTGTTATTTCTTAAATCCACAGAGTTCTAGAGGTGTCCCAGCCAAGTTTCTTGCTCAGTCCTTTTTGAAAAGTATTTTCTATAGCGAGTTGAACGCGCACACGCGCGCGCACCTCGCTCACGTTTTTAAACTTCTTGGGTGATTCGCATGCAGCCCTGGCCTTCAGAACTCGGGAAACACAATCTCGAAAAGTAGCTGGGCGTTATCACATATATGACAGAAGTGAAATAAGTTACGTATATATTCACACACAACCCCCAAATTCACACACAACCCCCAAATGAGACGTGGTGTGGGGAGACGAGAGGGATGCACAGCATATGCCATGCATTTAATGGGAGATCCTATTAAATCTCCCATTGTTTCCTTGAGAGAAAACATAACAGATCAGGGTATTATTAGACAGGGGCTGTAGTTGTTTTTAATTCACCGCTTGCAACTTTGCAGAAGTTGGATTTTGTTTTTGCTTTAAAGAAACGCTCAGGCTTAACTTGACAAAATCTCTGCTCGAAGTTTCTGTGTGTCTCTCCTCCCCCCACCCCCCGCAACTTGCACAACGGAGGTGTTACTGCTAAACCCCCTTTAAATAAAAAAACAAAACACCCTTTTGCCTGACGATTCCTCCGCGCGCTAGATCGAACTGTCAATCAACCCCTCACGGAAAGGAGGAGAGAGAGCGAGAGCAAGAGAGAGAGCGAGAGAGAGAGAATACCAGCGCCCATTTGTGTGCAAGGGTTTTGATGGGTATGGGTGTCCGTATTGGGGGAATTGTTAGATTTCCCTTTTTCAACTTTCATTGGGGAAACACGGGCCTAGGAATTGCGCTCTGAAACTATATTCAAACTCTCGAAGATATATGGACAACAAAAGGACTCAGTAACTCCTTCCCACAACTCTCTGTTGAAATCAGGCTCCCTTATATTATGAAAAACCCGAACACTTTATTTTCTGCTAGGTTTGGATCCCCACAGCAGATCTTTTTGCTTCCAAGGCTTATTAATAATAACATGATTAGTGATTTTCAAAGCGGGATTCCGACTCTCTTCCCCCCCCCCCTCTCATCCAGTGCGTGTTATTCACAAGGAAAAGACACAATATGGGATTGTTCTTACGTTGAGAAAAGACGATCAAAGACACTCACGGAGGTGATTCTCTCTCTTCTCCCCCCCCCCCACCCGCTGCCCTTGGTTCAGTTCAGTTCTCCACACACCCGGAATTATTTGAAAGCTGCATTGAAATTAATACGGCCCATTACTTCCGACTAAGCAGTGGTTTAAGGATCCGGGTGCCTCTCTTTTAAAAAATAAATAAATAAATAAAAATTTTAAAAGTCACGGGAGGGGCCACGAACTGTGTCCCAAACTCTGCGAGTTATTTTTTTAAAAAATAAAAAATAAAGCCGAGGCAGGAGTTTTTTTGCATGCTCTTCTCAATCTGCCGAAGAGAGATTTTTAACCCCTTGTCGGCCCCCCTAGCGCACCCCCGGGCCCAGATCGAGAGGGGGGGGGAAACCAGGAGACCGAGCTGGTCACTTGCAAAGCACCGCCAGCCAATTGCACCTTTTCCTGCGCCTTCGCTTTACGCCCGCAGCTGTGCAAAGTCACATCGCAGGCGGAGTTGGAAGAGAAAGAAAAGCTGAAGATTCCAAAAAGAGAAAGAAAGGGGGAGAAAGGAGGACTGCGGGTTTTTAAAGAGGGAAATCTGGAGTTGGAGGGGGGTGTCAGAGAGCGAGAAAGAGAAAGAGAGAAAGAAAGAAGAGCGGAATCTGTGGACTCGTCTCCTTACCAGCTGCGGGAAGATGGGTAGCTCGGCGGTGTAGGGGAGGAAGGCTCCGTATCCCTGAGCAGCCGCGGCTGCCGCGTACGGCGCTCCGTACATGGAGGAGAGCACGTTGGAGAGCGTCCCCGTCGGGCTGAGGTCTGCCCCGCTTCGGGAGCTGCTGTTCCCTTGGCGATCCGACGGGTAGAGCGGCCGGATATACTGGTATCCCAACTGGGAAAATGCCATGGCGGGGTGGTGTGTGGTTGGGGTGGGGGGGTGGAGAGGCGAGGAGGGGGGGAAGAGGGGAAGGAAGGGGGGAAGGAAAGAGGGGAGGGGAAAGAGGGAGGGGGAGGAAAGGAAAGAGAAGCGAAAGGAGAGAGCGCGAGGAAGGAAAGAAAGAGAGAGAGAGAGGCGCAGAAGCGAAGAAAAGGAGCCCGGTCGTTCGCCCTTTGCTCGCCTCGCCTGCACTTTTTTAGTGCGTCTCAGAAAGTCTGCCAGGCATTGGCGGTGCCGGGTGGGTTAGCGGGGTGGGGAGACCAGGCGAGGCCGGGGGGGGCTGCAGCTGCTGCCGCCGCCTCCTCCTCTTCCTCTTCTTCGTCTTCTTCTTCCTCCTCCTCCAGCCGCTGCTGCGTAACGATCCTCCGTCTCTTTCTCCCTTCACTTTTCCTATTGATCTGAGTGGACTCCAGGTCAGGTCCTAACAGATTGCTGGAGATTATTGGAACTCCCGCCTTTGATTGACAGCCGGAGTCTCTCTCTCGAAGCTCCTCCTCTTTCTTTTAAGTCAGTCTCTCTCTCGCTCGCTCTCGGTTTCTCACTCCGGCTCTTTTCTCACTCCCTCCCCCCGCCACTCACGCCTTCCATTTACTGACGTCGCCGTCTTTTATTTGAGTGCTTTTCAAATCTGGTGGAAGCCATCGCCAATCAGTCCGGGGTTTGTACAAAGATTTAACTCAGTCCAGGAGAGTTGTTGCTTAAAACAGAATAATAATAAATATTATTGTTATTATTACCATTATTAAAATAATCTCCCTTCAGAACAAAATGTATCAACTAGAGTTAAGACAGGGATCCGTGCAGAGTTGTGGCACACGCAGGCTCCCTTCATTATTATTGTTGTTGTTTTTATTATTTTGCTGATTGTCTCCACAAAATTATTCTCCCAAACTCCCTCGACTCCTCCCTCCCTCGCGCAAATTAACCTATTCATTCCTGGAGCTGTTGGACTGAACACTAATATAGATTTAAAAGTCTGCTTTCACTCTCTTTCTTTCGCGAACCGCCCCCTACCCACCGTGAATTTCTCTTTTCGCACCGAATTTTGAAGTAGTTTCTTTAACACAGTAGGGCAAAATACAGTAAAGGTGGAGAGAGAGAAAGGAGGGGGGAAATAAAGTGAGACGGGGGAGTTAGCGAAGTTAATTTCCCTCCTAATAAGAAACTTCAAAGGCTTGTAGGTCAGAATTTTGACATCAAAGGCGAGAAAAGAAGGCAAATTAAAATTTTAACAAAGGAGACGTAGGGGCAGCCCCGTGGGCCGTTGGTAAATAAGCGGTGTGAAAAAATGGGGTGGGGGCCGGTGGTTGGGAGACACCACACATGCAGACAAGGAGACAATGACAGACATCTGAATGGAACTCATTAAGAGCTTTTTGTCTTGGTGCTAAAACTCTAATTAGGAAATTTATGATCGTTTTGCTCGGTCCCTGGGTTCTTTAGCGGTGCGCGCAAAGGAAGGGCGAGGTACCACTTCCCTGAGTACCTGAACCTGACAAAACTGTAAGAAAATCGCAGGAGGGAAAGAGGGTTTGTGGGCATGAGAGAGGGGGGAACTTTTAGGGAGAAAGACCCCCTTTTGGTTCAATTATTGCTGGATGTTATAATCGGACGTTGTTCCGAAAATTGCCACCACCACGTCATCATTTTTCTTTCGCAAATGAACGGGCATTTAATTGACTTGTGCAGGGCGAACTTGCACGTATTTACTCAGAAGTAAGCTCAGTGGGGCTTAGTCCCACATGTAAATATTGCAACCGCACTGACTTAATTTACCCTCACCCCCCAGCGATGGCAAAATTGCTTCTTCTCTTGAGAGACTTATTTTGCTGTTCATGAGACTCTACTAACCTTTTCATATTCTCACTCACTCACTCTCATACACATTTTACCGTAGTGTAGATTTCTTATATGTTATTATGCGTATGTCGTTTGACAGCCTTTTCCAGCCTTCGGTTTACGGTCATGCCCTAATTTACGCATAGTTTTGTATACACGCACAAGCACGTCTGCATGGACATGGTCGCCTCGGTGCACGCGCGTACACATTAGCAAAGCGTCTTGCGACACTTTCAGGGCTCGCAACATTGGCGTCAGCCTTTAGTGGGCTACAGTCCATCAGATGCATCACAGTACCTATTTATAGATTTGGCCATCTGCTTAGGAGCCCCTACGCACCTTTACAGGGAAGTAAGTCCGGCAGATAAAGTTCTGCTCAGAACTCACCTGGGGACATGAGTTTTCACTTTGTGGAATATCCCCTCCACACACGCACAAAAGAAAAAGTTTCTAAGCGTTTCAAAGTTACAGTTAACGTGGCATCGCAATTTCTCCTCCGTTTCCCGGATCCCGCCGGGTATATTACTTCTTCCACAATATATCCTGAGTGCTCTCAGATAATCGCCCATTGTCCCCTCCCTCCCTCCCAGCTTCCAGTCCCGTCTGGGTTTAATTTTATAACTCTATTCCTCTTTTTTATTTTTATTTTTATTTTATTTTTAAAAATGAAGTGCATGTCGGATTAAACAGTTCGAGAAATCGACCTTGATAGCTTCCTCTCGTAAACCTCTCCTGTCTTGTAATAAACGCGGATTATATCCAATAGCAAGAGTCAGAATTAAAATTCTCGGAATCAATAGCGAGCAATCTCGAAGAAACATCTCTAATCGTATTACGCTCCTCTTGATAGCTTTCCCTATCTGCTAATCTAATGCAGTCTTCTCTGTATCCCATCTCCAATATTTTTAAAACTTTTCCTCTTGAAGTTTTAGAAGTGCCGTGTGATGGGTGGATATCCCAATATTCAACTGAGTTTCGATATTATTATCATTATCATTATTAAATATGGGAGGGAGGGAGCGGGGGAGAAGAGAGAGAAAGAGACAGAGAAGCACCCTCACGAGAAAACGCCAGCTCCCCGTTTTACTTGCTGTTTTGTTCTATATTATTTTCAATAACTTAGTATCTTCCATAGGGCTAAGATGGTGGTGATTTGGCAGAGCTAGGACGGGAAAAGTCGATTAGAGACCAAGGGGAACCGGAAGGGAGAAACGGTCGAAAACCTCACTCCTCGGTGCAATTTACTCGCGAGTAATCTTTGCCTCCTCTTCCAGTATCGAGAAGGGACAGTCTCCCCAAGGAAGAAAAAGCAAAAGGTTTTGCCGATTCTGTTTCTTGGCATCAGACTGGGATTGGGACCTCAGCTCGTTCAAGTTGGAGTTCCCTAAAGAAATCTTAGAGGGTTAAACACACACACACGTGTGAAGCCTGGAGATGCTGTCGATATCATAGTCCAGGCGCACACGCGCCCTTCCTTCAAATCTCCAGACATTCTGTTTCCCCTCTTACAGCCGTCATCTCACTGTCCTGCATTGCAGGACTGTCGTACGGATCGGCTGGGGAGCTTTGAACCCTGGAAAGGGCCCTGACCGGAGTTCAGCCGTCTTTAGCTTGACTACAGGCGCCTTTCAGTGGCGTGTAAAACCAATATACAACAGACGCGTGGGGAAAAGAGTTGGCCAGGTTGCATTGAAAGCGGGGTGCGGAGAGGTGCTGGTGGGGCGCTTCGGAGCCCAACGGGCGCTGTACCCGAGAGATGCGCGTAATAGCCTCCCTGCTACGGCTTCCCTCGTCCTTCCTTTAGTGAAAAGCAGTCAGCTGGAGGAGGAAGACCGGCGGGCGGTGGTGTGATGATTAACCCCTTCCTTTCCGGTCAACCTTTCCTCTAAGAAAAAGCCTCCTTAATTGCTTAAAAATAACAAAAACAGCAGCACGAGAAGGTGTGTGTGAATATTTGCAAGCCTGCACGTGTACTTTATATATGTCCAACGTGTGTGTGTGTCTTCATGGGTGAGGTATATTAAAATTAATTCGTGCACGAATTTTTAACAATGTGATTTTAGACACACGCACCCATTGTGATCCTCAACTTCTTAATTCATGGGAGCGATCCACAGCCCGCCTTTGTGCCTGTTTGCAACCCCAGCCTCTCTGTTTCATTGCCAACGGGGACAGGTAGCTAGCGGTTCTCCCAGGCTCTCAGACAAGGAGTTTTTCCTCCGCCCCTTCCTGGCGACGCCGGGGATTGATCCTGGGACCTTCTGCATGCGCAGCAGATGCTCTACCAACTGAGCCACGGTCCCTTCTTCTCCCGGATAATCTCCGGAGCAGCTAGGTTGAAACAAAACTCCTGGGTTCTGAAATTCCCCACCACGTTTCCCACCCTGCTTGGTTTCCTCAAGAAAGGGTGGTGGTGATTAATTTTATAAACAGCCTTTTTCAATACAGGTCGAGCCTTTTAATAAGGAAAAGAGACACGTGTTGTGTAGGGCTTGGGACTTTGAGCGACCTCCCTCCTCTCCCTTCCTCGGTTCACGGTCCCGGGGGAGGAGAGGGGCAGCTGGCCTGGTGGGACGCTTCTAGCAGAAGCGAAGGTGGAAGAAAAACGGTTGGGCGGAGAAACTACAGTTTTCTTCTGTAGTTTCCCCATTCCCAGATCAAAAGGGGACACCAGCACCCCTCTTTGAGTGTGGCAAGTGTGGGGTGGGAGAGGAGAGGAGGTGGTGGGAGCATTGTAGTGGTGAAAAATGAATGGGGAGCGCAGGGAATGGAAAAGCCAGTACCTAGGGGTTGTGTGAATCGGGGAGCAAAGGGAGGAAGGAAATCTCAGAAGGCCGGCAAGGGCGGCTGGTGGCGAGGCGAGAGTGGAGGGTGGGAAGATCGCAGCAGGGGAAAGATCCTCAATCCCAGTTGCACGTGGAGAAGCTGCATGGAGGGGCAAGATGGAACGTGTGAAGCAGACGTGGGGAGCCTTCGACTCTCCGGATATCGCTGAACTACAACTCCCATCAACCTCAGAGAGACTGACCGATGGATATGGGTGGTGGTGGTGGTTGTAATTCCGCAACAACCAGAGGGCCAAAGGTAACGATCGCCTGGCGTGAAAGGTGGCAGAGTCATGTCTGCGTTTTGACGGGATAAGCGTTTGTAGAAAACTTCCACAAGTTGCAAATTTTAGGGAAGCGAGCCACCGAGGCGGGGAGAAGAAGAGGCCGCCCCCGTTCTCGGCCACGGGCTCTGCCAAGAAAAGGAAAACCAGCCGGGCAGAGCCACTAGCTCCCGCCGACACGGGTCTTCCGTCTGAGATCTGTCAAAAGCCAGGAGCTTTGCTTCTTGATCTGTTATCCCGGGACTAAATAAGAAGCCACTTTTATTCCTCCACCCTTCCCACTTTAAGGGCTTCATTTGTTTTTGACAACTGTAACCATATTATATATTGCTACTTCTACATACCTGGGCTGGGGTCTGGGGCGGGGACGGGTCCCGCACCTTTCGCACCCCAGTTCTAGACATGAGGCGAGGTCAGGGTAATTCGACCATGAATGAAGTGCATTCTGTTCATGCTCGAAAATACTCTCGTTTTGCTCCTCTTACTGAGGAGCTGAGTCCTGGCAGGCTCCCGGGTTGAAGCACTTGCTCAAATATTAAGGCCTTCTCCTCCCTGGAAGGGGGCATGAGGAGAGAGAGGGACAAAGAGAGAAAAGCCTTTTTCTTTACCGTCCTTCTCCCTCCTCGCGCGGCACAGTTTCTATAGGGGTTGCCGTCCTCTGTGGGTCTGTTTCCCGCAGGGCTCCTCTGCTTTTAACAGCTGGTGGGATTTCCACAGAGAACTCATTACTTCCCAATTGCTTAGTTAACATCTCCCTGGTGAGATGAAAGATATACCTGTGGGATTCCTGCCTGCATCTGCAACCCTTAAAAAGAGCCTTTGGATGGGTGGTGGTAGCAGTAGTAGTGGGGAGTCCATTGGTTTTTTTAGATGCTTCCCATAAGCGTCTCCCCCATGCCCCACACATTTACGCTGTCGGGTTTTTGCTTTATTTTGCTTTTTGTAAGAATGAATGTGGGTATTTGGCAAATGGGGGGCGGGAATTGGCATAATCCTATTTGATCGCATTTTATATCCCACTCCTTCTCCAAGGAGCTCAGGGTGTCGTACATTGTTCTCTCCCGCCCCTCCGTATGATCTTCACAACAACCCTGTGAGGTCAGTTAGCCTGAGAGTTGACCCAAGGTCACCCACTGAACTTCATAGCCGAGGGGAGGATCTGAACTCTAGTCTCCCAGGTCCTAGCCCAGTGTTTCTCAAACTGGGGTCCCCAGGTGTTGGACTACAACTCTCGTCATCCCTGGGCCCTGACCGTTGGCCAGCTGGTTGGGACTGATGAGAGTCATAGTCCAAAAAACAATAACAACAACATCGGGAGAGCCCTAACTTTAGCAACCCTTGCCAGGGGTGCCAACTTGAATAAAATATTGGGAGGCCCAGGTAAATCCCGCCCCACATAATCGATCACATGACACGGTGTGCACACACCATTTGAATGGCAACACTCATCAACTTTGGGGGCTGCCCGCAAATGTTTTATTGGGGAGACCCTAAGTGACCTCAGCCCCTAGGAGTTGACTCCTATGTCCCTTGCTATACTTGAGGAAGGGAGCGGGGGAGAATCTCGCGGGGGGGGGGGGGAGGTACTGAGCTATTCATTTTCACTTTAACGTCAAGCATAGGAGCAAACTCCTAGGATCCGTGGGGGCTTCGGCCCCCACAATAAAATATTTGAGGGGGCCTAGCCTCCACAAAAGTGATGGGCATTGCCATTCAAATGGTGTGTGTGCACTGCGTCATGTGATCGATTATGCGGGGCGGGGCTTACGTGGTCCCCCACAATATTTTATTTAAGTTCTCACCCCAGCGTCAAGAGATCCGTTAGTATTAGATTAAGGTGTCTGGCTCTTCCAGCGTCCAGCCTCCAACAGCGTCCAGCCAGATGTCTCAAGGAAGCGATGGTCTCCAGCATCTGGTGTTGAGAGGTATACTGCTCTTTCATATGGAGGCTCTTCCACAAAGCATCCGTGGCAGGCAGGTTGAGTCTATTTCACAGGGCGAAGAAGGTGGATTCGTTCCCCCTTTACAAAATCCAGCCATTCTGTCTTCTCTATCAAAACGTCATTTAAACGCAGCCTCCACACCTGGATTTTTGTTCACTGGGACACACTTAACAATTGTACCTAAGAATTGCGACTGAACTTTGCTTGGATCCTGCTTAGATCGCTAATTTACAGCCATGCCCTATGCACGTTTCCTATGAAACAAATACCTCTGCACTCAGTGCTGCTCCTCTCCAGCAAATGATCACCCAGTGATAGCTTTTTCAGCTCCAGCCTAAGCAAGTTTACTCGGAAGTAAAAACCCGTTTCAGGCAACGGGGCTGGCGCTCCAAGATTGAAAGCTAAGCGGAGATCCTGCATCACAAGATGTAGTAGACGTGGGATCCTCCTCCAGATGTTTCGGGATTTCCCAGAGGTCCCCCAGCAGCCAATGGTCATAAATGATGGGCTCCGTGGTCCAAAACATTTGAAGGACAAGGGTTCAAATCCCCACTCAGTGGGCGTGTCCTTGGCGCCAGTCGCCATCGCACTGCGGTAGCCTACTTCACAGGGTTGTTGTGAGAATAACATGGCAGAGAAGAACCGTGTAGGTCTCCTTGCGCTCCTGGGAGGAAAGGCGGACTATATATGTAAGTAAGGAAAAGTCCATGCTCCCCCTTAAAAAAAATATGGAGGAAAAGAGGAATTTGCTTTGAACCAGACCGCGGGCCTTCTGTCGGCCTCCAGCAGCTTCCATCACCTCTGAGACCATTGGTCATGCTGGCTTGGAGTGGGCGATAAGAGATGGACTCTGACAACTTTGAGGGGAGGGAACGCAGCTTCCTGATCCACCCTGTAAACGCCCCAAAGCGACGTGAAGCTAAAAGGTGCTAATTAAGCCGTCCCAAGCAATAGGTAATTAAAAGAAAAGGACGGTCGGGACGGGGTGTGTGTGTCATTTAACACCTTCCCATTTGCTAGCTTCTGCTCGAGCCCTCCTTCTCAAAACAAACAAACAACAACAACAACAAAAACCGGGCCCCGCTGACGTTTTCTAAGCTACCGAATAGATAGCGCTCTCCGCATTCCTTTATCCCATATGGGATCAATCTTGCGCTCGCCTTCTTGATCAACGATTCGTTAATTGCGGTCACGTCTGATCCGGGACAGCCAGCACAAAGCGAGACGGTCCCCCTTCCCTGGCTAAGGGGGCGCTGCCGATCTCTTTCCACCGGAGATCAACATTCCCCAACAAATACGGTTTTGCTTCATTTGCGAGCGATTAGGACTGAGGCGTCGCTGAAAACGTTTGTGGTTGTTGTGTCTACTGCTTCTTTGCAGTTGATTTCTTTTTCTCCTCCTCTTTGTTTTTATAAAATCTGCAAGGGTCCCCTGGGAAAGAGCGGGGAGTTGGTAGTTACTAACAATAATAATAAAGGGCCTTCCTATAAACTCCAGTTTACTTAAGAGTCTTGACAATACATTGAGGTGGAGGGAGAGATCTGCTCTTCCACTGTTGTTATAACCAGTTCCTAGATCCCAAATGAGTCCATATAGAAACCACATTAAAGGTATTTGAAGCTACCACCTTGCTGAATTGAAGCAGGTCCAAATCTAGTCCGTGCTTGGATGGGAGACCACCTGATCTACACCACCTTGATGGAAGATTTGCAGTAGATTTGAGTTTGATAACCTTTTGTAAACTGCTTTTGAAAACCTCTGGGAGCTATAAAGTGGAATACAAGTATTCAAAACCATATGAATGAATGAATTGCCCTGTGAACTTGATGAGTAGGGATCAGCACTCAAATTGTAAGAGGGCAGAGGGGGCCTGCCCTGCTAAACTGTCTTTAGAGGGTAGGTGTGTGTGCTTCTTTGTAGTGGCACCCAGATAGCGGAATGCCCTCAAACTGATATTTACTTGAAGCCAACCTTGTTTTCATTTCAGCACCAGTTTAAAACCTGGTTATTTACTCTAGAGCTTAGTAATTGTTCCTCTCATTGTTAAATCTATAATTACTGTCACTTGTGTTTTAAGATTCTTTATTATTGTTACCCGCTCCGCCTCCCAACACATACACATACTTCAAAGATATACAAAAATACATACCCATTACAAAGTATCTTCACACTGAGATAAAACAGCTGCTTAGTCTTCTTAGAAGGAAGTAAAGCACAAGGAAGAAAGGAGAAACCTAAAGAAAGTGAAAGT